AAAGGACTTGACCAGACACACCAAATGTGGAACATTACATTAACAAATAAGGGGGAAAGACAAGAAAACAATGTAACAAATCAACAAGAATCTGCAAAAATCTGGTAACAAAATCTCCACCACCAAGAACATGATAAAGTATACCTAAATGATCTCACAAAATGTTAAAAGCATGAAAATATGTACATAGGTGACTTTGCCTTCCTTGTGAGATTGTTGATTGTTTTTACACAAACAGCTACAGCACAGTAAAAACATTTTATGTTAGATTTACATGTTATGATCATTGTTATATTACAAGTTGTTAATGCAGTTTAAAACATATTCTCACTCATACAAGAATGAAGCTTGGCTATGCCAGGACACGTAGATATTGATTGACTGTGTTATATAATATATAATATCATGAATTCATACGTTTGTCCTCACATCTACTTAATGACATAGATGTAACTTACGCATGTCGGTCTTACAGTACAGTACTACAATGATTTCAAGCACACGAAGCTACTTTACGTTAACACTGATGTATACAATCGTGTGTTTTTTGTTCTGCAAATGTTTACAAGCATAATTAGCATGTGTATTTTTCCATTGCTGCTACATATTAAAATATTTCAGTGGGGATGCTAAAACCTTAACCTAAAACTTTGCTTCAGACTCCACTCAACAAGTCTGGTTGCAATATTTGCTATTTCTTTAAATTACACATCAAAGGTACCTTGGATGTTAGGACAATTATTTGGTTTAGTGAAAGGACACTTTGAAGTTTGTGTGACATTAAGCTGATTTTGCCTTCTGAAGAGCACATTGGTAGTAAAAGGCACAACACTTTGATTGTCAGAATGATATGTTGTAATGCTAGTATCAGCAACCATTCCAAAATATATATACGTGAGATCCTGTAGCTGTCTTTTCTCCAGAGCAGTAAAATCAGTAATACTTTATTTACAGAGAGGTTTTATTTTTATAAAACACAAAGGATGTTAATCCTTATCAGTCTACTTGCTCATAATCATATACATACAATCCTCAGTGGTGCTCACGCCATTGACACCCCTATTTTTACAATGGAACAGTCAACACAATGGCCTGAAGGAGTGGTCATAGGAAGGCACCATTGGCTGTATGGGTGTGTTTGAATGAAGCCTTGATACTTTGAGACCCCAGCAATGGAACTGATTTTATCAGTGCGTTTCTTGCTTACAGCAGACAAGGCTTTTGTACCATGGGAACACCGACAAGTTCAACTTTGCCCCAACAGTAATTTAACATAACCCTTGCACATGTATGCATGTGTTTATGTGGTAATGTCATTAGGAAATGATGAGGGTCTATCTAGCATCACACAGTCTTTTGAAGGTGATGGTGTACTCCAGGTATTGTGAGCCGGCAAGGTCTTGTGAGGTGGAGCATCCAATGTCAGTAGTACCCTGTGTCACATGGACAGATGTGTAAGTATGGGGCATGAACATGCAACATTGCTCATGTCAGAAATATTTGTAACAATCTTGAATACAATTGCTAAGCATACAATGATACACTAGCGATAATATTCTTGGGTTTCTTGACATAGCAAGATGTAGAATGCTAGTGACCAAATGTACATGTAGTCATTCAATTAAATGATCATTGGCTTAAAACCTAACACTTCTTACCATTTCCACGACTCTGAAGATGTAGGTTGTTTGTGGGAAAAGTGCAGCGTCCACATCCCATAGATGATGATGGCCCTGCAGTGAACACAGCACCACATTTGTCAAAGAACAAATACCCATATTTGTCAAAGAACAAGATATGAGTCAGAAAATGAAGCTGTATATCTTGTATTAACACTGTGTTTGCCTGTTGCTCATTTGTAAGATTTCAGAAAAAACAACAACTGAATGATAGATAATCCATAAAAGAAGAACACTCAAGACTTTAAACTATAATTTGAGAGCAGGAGAACTCACAGTTGTGACAGCAGTTTGCTCCTCGACTGTGTTTGGATGGTTGATGTCTGTGTCCCCTTGTTCAGGGCACACTGAGTCTGTTATCTGCCCACACAGTTTGATGTCTACAGCACTGGAAGTACTGTACAAAAAGATTAACGTATTAAATATCTCCAGTGGTGCTACATGTATGCTCTGGACAGGAATCCTGTAGAGTAAGTAACAATGCAATGTATGCATCCAGCCTGGTAGAAATGATGCAGAACAGTAAATGTTTTCTAGTTATTTTGCCATGAAGCATGTTTGTTACAGTACATTATACTGCGACATGACATCAATTTTCATGCAAGAAACGAGATAAGAAATATCTTCTTCCCTTTCTTCCTCTTTTCGCTAAATCAACTCACTTTGCTTTTTCCCCCAAGTCACTAGCAACAACAGCAACATCCCTGTTTAATCTTTTGTTTCCTATATAAAGTCATGCACTTTCAGAAGAAGAGATCTGAGTGATTTTTGACACACTTACTTGAACTCCAGAGTCAGGAGCTGCATGGGTGTGTGCATGCTGATGTGAAGACTGTAGTTCCCTCCACTGGGGGAAAAAACATCACTCAGCATCAAACATGTCTTAATAAAATTGTAAATTAGTCTAATGTTTACTTGTAGAAACAAAATTATATCTACTTGTGGCAAAAAGAACAATTATGTTTCTTCCTTACAGAAATCCAATAGGCTGGATGCTTTGTACATTTTTAAAGCAATGAGCTAAATTGGATGGATATGAAAATACATGTAGCTTGATGAACACACAAACATTACCAAAATCATGTATATTTATTTTATACTTAGACAACAATTAATGACATTCTGAGAGTCCTGTAATTTAAAAATTACCTGCAGGAGTTCTGGGCAGAGCAGAGGTTCTGCTCGAGGACAAGATCTCTCTCAACAATGCCCATGGCTGTTACCACTGTGCTCAGCACTACTGGAAGTAAAGGTAGTCCGTCAATAACAGGTTCACTCAATTCACTTTGCTACAAACTTTCAAGTTACATGTGTTATTATTCATGGAGCAATCAAACATTAGAGGACAGTGTTTCTTTGGCAGTTCAGTCTGTGATCATAATTAAATAGGGTATATATACAAAACATAATTTAAGATAAAATCAATTTATCTGATCATGAACGCATTACTAGTATATGCAATCATGTACAATGTATGTTACAGTAATGAACAACTAAATTCAACTAAAAAGGTTTTACCTTTAACACAGGACATTTAATAAATATGACTTGTTAGAAGATGCAACAGCTTAGTTACATTATTTATCATAATTCAGAATCCACATATCATTTCAAACTTAAAACATTTCCATAAAAATTTTCCCGACATATACACTGTACATGTATAGCAACATGTCTAAGTCAGTAGTAATTCTTATCGTTGGATTACATAAATGGAGACAAGAAGGGAAAAGAGAAAACTGTGCTTTTGAAAATTGGTGAGGAGAGATATCCATTATATAAGAAAGGGAGGAGTAGGGAAGAATCCCACAACCTGCAATGCATGAATCACCTGCAAGGAGGAGCTGCGGAGTATATTCATCAAAACTCAAAGAATTTTTAAAAAGTTCATAATGTATATTGGTTGGTTGGTAATTCTCTGTTCCAGGGGAATGGGGGAGGGGGGCTGCACACTAATTTCTTTTTCCCTTCACTGATAGATAAAGACAGTGGATTTACATTGTATCAGTTAGTAACAGTGACAATCTTGGTTTTCTACATGGGTTTCTGCACTTGTTGTTCACACACTCTGCATGCATGTTAGGAACGGGGACATGATGATTAACAGTTGGATGAACATGGCATCTCCTTGAACCTACGTGAGACCACCGGGCCCTCCCCAACATCCTCCGACTCTGCCGAACGCCGCTTGATATTGGACCCTTTGTGGTCGATGGGCTCGTTTTGTATACCCTCGTCTAAGGGTTTCAAATCACTGGCATCTTTGGTGGGGATTTGAGAGCCCCGGGACATGTTCTTGTAACCTGCTTGGAGCATAGGAATCACATGAAATCACCGATATCAATGACAGTCAGATTTTTCTTCTTGACTGACATTGATTGAGATAAATCCGATAGATAACATAATTTTCAGTCATCGGAAGACATTGTCAAGAATGACGTTGGAAAACAAGTTAAACAGCAAGAGTATGAAAAGACTGCAAGTTAAAATTGAAATACAGAAAAAAAAGGATCAGGAAATTAAAGGAAATTGAAGCTGGCAACACCTCCTGTGTTTTGTCCCCAGTACTTACTTCCATCTCCGATGATGACTTGAGGTTTGCTGGGAATAACGACAGTCTGTGACTGTGAGGGGGACCTGGCTGGTCCTGAGGTGGTCACATGGGGCTGGACAAGAAAAACAACAGTTAGAATGGAACACACACAAAAAAAAACTCGTAACCTTAGCAACTTAAGTTTCCTCTTACTTTAGACCAAAAATTGATCTGGATCTTTAGCAATCATCTCAATGGAACACATCATGCTTCACACATGTGTCTGCATAGGGCACTCACTGTATGGAGGGCACTATTCAGTTGCTGCACTATACATGTATACAGGTGAATTGTCCATTTCTTTGTCAATCTGTGATGAAATCTTACAAATTTTGTTCATTTTGTTTCATAAAAAAATCTGTTTTTGGGACTTAAGATGTAAACTTGCATATTGTTGCTGAAGAGCAAGAGAACCATTACTTTTCTAACTCAGACATCTACAGAACGATGACAGTTCTCTGCAGTTTAATTGGTTCAGAGGCTAGCCTTACTCACCACAGCAGATGTCGGGATGATTGGTGGTACTGTAGGAACCCGGGAGTCATGTGGGACGTGTGCGCAGCAGTAAATCTGGGGCAGGGCTGCTGCTGTCCCATTCACTACACAGAAAAACAACAAAAAAGTACCCAATGTTATAACAGGCTTTAATACACAACCATTACTGAAAGCGAGCAGTAAGGGATACAAAAAATAGTAATCAAGATTTAAGGAGACCAAATACTTTGCAAGACCAAACTGTATTTGACCATAAGTAACTGAACCCTGTAGATGTAGATAGTATCAAATGCATGTTGTTTTTCACAAAAATTGATTTCCTGTTCTGGGATTCTGGGATCTTAAGGTGTTTATTTCAAATTTCTGATGGGATGTATTAGGAAAGATACTACATGTACATGTATATCCCAAGACTAGCCCCATTTTGTGATTTATTTTGTATTTTTATTTCATAGTTTTTAGTTGACTATACCAAAGTTTTTTTTTAAATAAAGCTTGTTATTATGAGTTGTATGACACATGTATAGGCAGAGTTTCTTACCTGGGCTGACTGTCCCCAGTTCTACAGGGAAAGGGTGGTCTGGAGAAGCGGTGTCCAGGGGAGGAGGGTTCTGGGTGGGGTTCGGGTTTCTATGACAACAGGAACATGTTCATTGTCAATAGTGATTAAAATAGCAAGAGTGAAGTTATCTAGTGTGGACATTATTTCTACCCACCACAGTTACTGATATTGTAATTTCTTGCATTTGCTTCAAAACAGATCACAGCTGGCACGTATGTTTGCTAATCTCTGAATGCATGCTCAGTGTAGGAAACTTTTTTTGTAAAAAATGAACTTGACAACCCTATATAGAAATAAGCAAATGGGGATTTTTCTTTACAAATTGAAGTTTGAAATGGAACACCTACATTAATGGAGGTTCAGTTGGAATGTTACGGACTGCCGCAAGCATCTTCTCTGCTTCAACTGGCTGTAGTAAGCCATCACCTACAGACAGAAACATGATCACATCCACAGTTACAATGAAGCTATCAAAATTTTTCAAAAGTCATCATCTGATAAGTCTATTGCAATACCTTGAAGACATGTAATGCCAGTAATGGTATGTAAATTTCATGAAAATTTAAATCACTATGATTGAGATCCTGTACTATGATACGATGGACAGATGTCTCCAAGGTTACTACTGTAAATTCAATGACATGAACAGAAATATAGAGAAACAAATTTTTAAGTGTATCTAAAAAGCTTAGAACTGAGCTGTTTGTTTCTGGTCTCTTCTGGTTTCTTAAAGTCTTATCCCCGTTGTACAAAGGTATATATGTACGCACCGTTCTTGTCAAAGTTGTCGAAGATCAGCCGCAGGATGCCTGACTTGTGGGCCTCGTCTGCGCTGACCCACGTGTCGTTGTTCATGTCCATCTGGTGGTACGTATCCACGGAAACCAGCGGGACCAGCTGGTCCTGCCACAGGTACATGTTTCCTACAAGAGGAATAAAAAAAATAACATTGTTGATTTGCAAGAAAAAAAACAGTTACTCAAGCAACTGAATATTATGATTCTGGAAATGGTTAGATGTCTCAGGTACATTTATGTAGAATCCACAACTAACATCGTCCGAGGCACCGTTTTTCCCCACAATATCGCAGTGCATGTACAATGTTGTAAACCTAAGAAAAAGCCCACTCCTTCTCAAATTTAGATAATTATACAGATACTGCAAATCAGGATTTTTTGCGGTAGTTTGATATTCGTGGTTTTTGCAGCCACTTCAGTACCACAAACTTATCATTACCATAAACAAATGATTTACTGACTTTCTTTTTGCTGCACATGCTGCCACCGTGAACGTATAATTCTGCGAACATGTCCATTTTTCTCAGATCGTGAACTTTTGCTTTGACCGTGAACATAATGTGATTTTCAGTATAGTCTATGATCCTCACCATCCGTGTCCAGATGATCGAACAGTTTGGCTCCGCTGATGACTTTGACGAACTCTGTCGGGGAGATGGTGTTATCACTGTCCAGGTCCATCTCATTCCAACTGGTGATCCTGCACAGGCGGAAACTTCAGTTACAGAACTGACATTCCCATGCATCAACTACAAAAAGCAATGCTAATACTTTTTGGACATCAACTAGCCTTAATGTACATGTATGTACAAGTAATTACCATTTGGCATATCAAAAAAGACCTAGAGAATCAAAAATGCAAAATACATTTTCTCAGTCTTTCCCTTTGGCAAAGTACATTTGTACATATTGTACAATAAAAACATCATGATAATAGTATTAATACTCAAACTTCTACTCAATTTCACTTTCCTGAGGTAACATAAATATAACTCTATACTACATGTAAAAGCAATGTGTAGACACATTGACTACATTTCTGTCATGGGATCATTCTTATAGTTTTAGTGACTGGTTATGCAGGGCTCGAAATACTGGGAGCATGTGCACCTTAGTGCACCCAAAATTGGAGCTGTGCACCTAATTTTTTTCTGTGGGTGCACCAGTAGGAATTTTTTTACATTAGAAATATAATATATTCTTGGTCTCTGAGTACCAGAAATATAATAAAATCTTGAGTTGGGTGCACCAGTGCACCTATTCCCAAAAAAAATTTCGAGCCCTGTTATTGAAGCCCAAATGTATGACTTACTCTGCCAGGCTGACACTCTGGACTGGACTTGTAGACTCTGTTGTTGCCGTCTGGGTCTCCAGAACATACAGGGTCGTCATGGCAACCACACTGCAACACAACATTTGTACGGAGTTAGGAAATATCAGATTACAAGCATATTTTTGTATTCAGTATAGTTTTGGATGTAGCAATTGTCTGTTTCATTTTGTGAAAGACATCAGAATGATTGTAATTTCTGAGTGCAATCAAGAAAAATTAATAACATCAGAAAAAAGATATCTGCAAGGAAAAAAAGGCAATATATCTCTCCTGAAGTTATTCTTGATGCATGCTACAAATGGTTTGTTATTCTTTGCTTGTAAAAAAAAAAGGATGGATAATAAAATGCTCCTACACATTATTATTGAATGAAAGACCTTTATTGTACACTATATTTCATGCTCTAACAAGCTCAGGTCATGTAAATGTATAAAGCAAGGAGATATCTCAGTGTACAAAATTCACAAATATATCTCACTATATACATGCTAATGTAAACCACTACGTACGGGTTTGATTACTACTTCTGTCAGTCAACTTCTTTTCGCTTCTTAAGACACCTGTAGATGTATGAGCATATAATACACAGTATATGTCTAAGAAAATGCACCCTTCTTTACTCACCAGAAAGCCATGATGAGAACGAGAGCTATGACAGCCCCCTGCATAAACCTCTGGGAACAGAAACGTCTTTCCGGTGTTGGAGGAGGACCCTACAGGAACAGACAAATTTACAAACATAATGAATTTTTCTGTCAATCAAAGTACTCAAACATTTTGATAAGTTATGTAGTAACAGTTAACACAACCAGGAATGAATCCTTATTAAATCCAACACACAAAATTAATCTGAACACACAGTGATGTTAGAAAGTATTAGATATTTCTTCTTTTCAATTTAAATCAAAGTTGTTTTTATATTATAATGCTAGTGAGACACAGTAATTTATTTACAAAGTGCTTACATGGTGTCTGCCATGTCTGCCATTCTTCAGACACTTTCCCTTGTAACTAGCTGCAGTGCTGCCACACCGACTTCTGTAGGGTAAAGAACACCAAAAATGACCTTACAACTGAAAAATTACAAAATATACATCAACTTTTCAGCTTGCACATTTAATTGCACGAGCTGTCTAGTGATGATGCCCCAACAGTGCTTGGTGGCAACGAGTTCAACTCTACGATGGTTCTTGGAAAATACAAGTTTTTGAACACATTAATTCTTGAGGTGTTAAAAAACTTGATAGTTGATATTATATAACTCCTGATATTTAATGACATGACTGTTTTTTGTTCTTTTCAATAGACTTTAAGTCTCCTTACCCAACAGTTGTAGCTGTAGTACTGGTACTGGAGGTGGACTTGATGCTGTCTAGTCTCTTCAGCTTGGCAAGTTTTTTGTTCATCCGCTCCAGCTCGTCTATTCTGGTCTCCAGATTGTCCGTCAGCTTGCACAGCTCTTTCACCGCCCCAACATTCTCCATGTAGATTCGGTCCTGGGAATGGGTAAGATGCACATACCATAATCAATATATTTTCATACTTTCCCACATTAAAAAAAAGTATATTATATTGTCCATAGTTTTGACACAAGGGTATGATCAAGACATTTAATCAAGGTGCTATGAGAATAACTTTGCATTAGTTGTGTGTCACAGGCTAAATAAAATGGGGCTTAGATAGATGTTATTTAGTTTGTGGAATGAATCCACTCTGTTATATACACCGTACATATAATTATGTATATTTCTAATAGCTTCTAATTCTCGCTTAGCTACAAATGTTGTGTTCCTTATTTAATATCCAAAAACACACAAAGCCATAGATTGTCAAGACTCTTTTATACTCATCTATTTTGAAGGCTCCTCAATGTTTTTACATGACACAACTCTTAATAAATAATGCAGGTAGTGAAAAACATGTGCAAATTTCTGTACAAACCTTGTTGACCACTAACAAGTTGTTGATTGTTTCTCCGCCCTCCAGGGCAATGTCCTCCCCAGTTTCAATGACCGCGTCCGGGATGACCTCTTTGACCTCCTGTGCCAGGACTCCCTTGTCGTCCACCTGGTCAATCCCCATCTTCTCAGCAAACTCAGGTTTGTAGTTGTAGTTGTAGACTTTCAGCTGAGACACGTTGGTCAGGGCTTCTTTTGTGTCAGCCTGGAAATAAATTCACCAGTTGTTAATATTGACTAGGCCCTCTTAGTGTCATGTCATCTAGGAATTACGATGTAAATAAAAAGCTATGTCCATGCATGTTTCAAAAAGAGAGAAGAGATCCTATAGATTTAGACGTAATATAGTAATGTAGTACTTCTTCCTCCTACCCTTATACTTCAGGAATCTAACTATTGGCCCATATGTAGGGCGTGAATATGCAATACAGCTCATTGTCATCGTCATTATAAAGTCAGAAGAAAAATGGACTAGGAAAAGAGACAACATACAAAGGATGTGCTACAATGCTACATGTATACCTGACCTACCATACAGCAGAACACTGAAATTTCTAATTGTAAAGACGAGGATAAAGGATATAAATTCTGCAGTCTGTTTTTTCTGGAATTCATAGGTAGAGTTATAAAACACTGTAAAGCTAGCAGGTTCAACCTGTAAAAGCCTCCTAACTACTACCACATGCCTGCCCTACCTCTTTGATGTTCTCCTTAGCCCTCATGTCAGACGGCTGCATGATGTGTCCTGACACTTTCACGTTGCCATGGACAACCAGTGCCTCGTCTGGTCTTTCTGTGTTGATGCCAACCCTTCCCTGTAACACAACAAGGAGAAGTGTTATCATGCTGTCAGGAGAGTGAAAAAGAAACATACTTTCTACATGATGATCAAAAGTGTCTTGCAAACTGATGCGTCAGTTCACTGGCAATCATAAATCTACAACCATGATAGCCTGGCAACTTGTTGAAATCTGCTAGAGTAAGTGATAGGATCTTACCTGGTGGTAGATTGCATCAGGCATTTGTCCTCTTTGCCAGCTGATGTCATCACTCTCAAACTGTCCTGGGTTCGATGCCTACAGAATACACAAACCAGATTGGTTAATTTATATGCACAACTCTAAGTCTTTGAATACATAGACAAGTACCAGAGTTATCAATCAAGTCGCTGCTACTGCTACCAAGTACAGTAGAGGTGTCATCAGTTTATAGCTTTAAACTGTGTTTAGAGGTAGACATGCCAAGGGTTGGTGTAACAAGTCATCTGGGGTAATATAGACAGCCACAGCCACACCGTGTGCCTGCAAATCTGTTACGCCAAAGGGTGGTTAAACCAGCTATACAGATACATACAATGTTATCATGATCTTAGGGCTAATTAATTAACTCAGGAATAACTCAGAAAAAGTTAACTCTTACCCTGACAATGATTTTTTCAGATGAGTGAGCAGCAACAAGGTAGTGGCCGTTGGACGTGTGTGCGTGCAGCGCCACCACCAACATGAAGTATCTCTGGTCGGGGTTGGGTCTGCCCTTCTTGCGCATGTTGTTAGACGTGGTCTCGCTGAAGTGCAGCCGCCCTAACGTCATCTTCACCACTTTGTCAGGGTGCAGTTCAAGACTGAACAGAAAGGAGGCATCACACATCAAACTGTAGCTCTCTATATAAGTTATGCCAAAAATTGGAATCGACAAAGTTGTGAAGATTTTCCTTTATTCATCAGCAAATTTAGTAATTCTACACCCTGATGAAGACTATATTACACATGGCACATACTAGACTGGATTGAAGAGCAAATTTAAGTTCTTCATTCACAACCACTTGTTGAGCCGACATTTTAATGACCATCTGGTTCACTGTGCACTGAAGCTAGGTGTTACTGCTAACAACACTGTCCCAAACATTAAGTCATTGTGACATATATAGATACTGCTACAACATAGTGAGATTTGCGATTCCAAATGTCAAGTATTGCAGTTATATACAGAATTATCAGAGAACTTGTACTTACTGTGCAGGATGGAAGGGTTTCTTGCTTCTGTCTGATTGGGATTGCTCCACTCTTATAGACTGGGAGATGGATTCAAACTGCAATGAAGGAAACAATAAAGGTTACACTAAAATTCATCTTTTTCAGAAAACATAATTTAGTAACCAATGAAGAAGGCAAATGTGCACTATACAGTGTATTGTTTACCCCATCATTAAAGGCATTTAGAAGAAACCATGAATTTTGATGTAATTTGTTTGCTTTTAAAGGTACCCAAAATGAATTTTTTTTTCATACATTATACTTGCTAGATTTGGTAATACTGACTCCATCAGATTACAGTTGTACAGACAAGTGTAATAAAAAAAAGATGCCTCTTTAATTTTCTAGAAAAAAAGTTAAAATGCTCTTCTCATATACAAGAATACTAGAGAGTATGACCTTGCTAGTGTGGACCTGCTAGACAGAGCCACTTGGGAAGTGTGATATGAAGTCTAGCTGACTGCTGCTCACCCATGTCAGGACCCCCCGCAGCAGTATAATCAAAGACTAGATACTAAAACCCACCTTAACACCACAGATGTGGACACAGTATTTCTGGATGGCCTTGAAGTGGCTGCCATCTTTGATGTACTTAGGGTGGCCGGCCAGCCCTGCATGCACAGTCACCTGGAAATGGTTCTTTTTCTGACACACAAAAGCGTCGTCTACTGTGGAAAAGTTGAAGCCTTTGTCCGCATCAACTCTGTAGCTTGGAGCAGGGCTGGAAAAGAGATTTTCAAATTGTCTCAATGCTCATTTACATGATTTATAACAAGCCTGCATTGGGCCAAATATCTAGTTATTTTGAGCTCTTATCAATACCTACTCACCTACCACATATCAAGACAGCCCATCTAAGTCTTCTCGAGTTATCATGTTCACACACACACACACACAGACACACACACATATGGACAGTCATACTCTCCCACAAGCATAGCCTTCTTGGTGAAGGTAAAAACACTACATATGCAGTACTGCAATTTCTGAAAGAAGCTTTTAAAGTTGACACGACGGTTTTGCGAATCTCAGATATTGACCGAACTTGCTAAACATGTGTCGGAGCCCATAAGTCTAAGTAAACGAAATTTTTCTTCACTATACTCTATACATCTTAGAATGCTACTTACAGCTCACTGTGATGTGCATCGTACAGCTTGTGCCAGCTGCTAGGCGTGTGGGCCTGCCACTTGATAGACTGATATGTGCTACTCTCCATGTACATGCTGCCATCCAGCGAGATTTGATCCGGATCAATCCCAAAGTCTCCCAAGCAATCGGAAACCAAACCTGAGAAAAGAGTGACACATTTCACTTTTTTAAACCCACAAAAACGAAAAAGTTGGTATGTCATCTTAACATGCTAAGTACAATGTAATGAAGCAATCAAAATGGCAATCTGAGGATGTCTTTTGATTTAGTCACAGATTTTATTTCATACCCACCAATACATGTTGTAGATATCTTACAAGATGGATTATGCAATATGATGGGTAGCTTAAAAGCCCTTTAAGGCTTAAAGGCTGGTGGTCTTTGTTTGAATAAAGAATAGTTTTGTTTGTATCTTTCCAGTTTTTGATGGGAAAAGTTCTTCAAGCGATTTTTTCACCATAAACAAAATTGTTATAGCCCAAGACCAGTTCACTCCATTCAGAGGGGTGTACCTACCAGGCTCCTGTTTTATGTGTGTGAGCAGTCCCCCCACCATGCCAGCATTGATGGAACCTGCCGGGGACTCGGAATGTTTTCTCTTCTTTGCAGCAGGGCGCTGGGGCTGGGGGGAGTTCCTGTAAATGGAATAGCTATTGTATCATGTCCAAATATTTCAGGATATCACTTATACATTGCTCAAAGACAATTCAAACTCTACTGCTGGATAGAATACAGACGTTTTGATTGAGAACCATCATTCTTCTTCAGTGTCACTTGATGACACTGAAGAACTACTACATGTACTACATGAAATACTAAGAAAAGAAATAAGAAATACTACATGTATCTATTAAAATAAAGCATAACCTTTCTCAAAAATGCAAGCAAGTATGGCTTCACCAAACAAGTTCCTAGGCAAGTTCATTTCCAAGCATATATGTCTCTCTGTACCAAAATTTTTAATCACTAGTCATGTTTTTGCATTCATGTTGAGTTTTGTATTTGTACTTGTACAGTGTGAAAAGATCTGACTAGTAAGATCAACGCAATTCAGGTCAGTACATGACATGTATAATGTACATTTCTGCAATGTTGATTCAAATGAGTTAAAATTAACGATTAAGACTATAGATAAGATATAAACATTATTAGAATGTAAATATTAGCCGTAATGATTCTTCTGTAGTTTATACATCTTACTGAGTGTATGTTTTGATGTCCAGGAAGATTTAGCTGCTTGCAAAAATTAATGTTGTAATGTCAGGTAACGGACATAAAAAAGGATCAAGAATCCAAGACCTTATGTCTGATTGCCGTGACTTACGTGACTATCTGAGATAGCAGCTGGTTTCCCTGAGCGCTCATGTCTAAGACTGGGGGAGGGGGCATGCTGCTGTAGCTGGTTCCAGGCTGCTGGCCGGGCAGCGTCTGATAGTGCATCTGCATCGGCTCCTGTTTCATGTAGCTGCTTCCTGGCTGGGGAACCTGCACCATCTGAGGGTAAGAGAGATCAGAGCAAACTGAGCATCTGTATTTCCTATTTTGTAAATCTACGGGTCATGCTGAGAAATAAGGTAGACAATAAAGAAACATTACAAACTTGACACATGGTTTTGGATGATACATGTGTCATCAGACTTGATTCTATACTAATGTAACAGAGGGATTTCAACATATAGTAGAGGGGATTCATTCCTCAATCTAACTGACATCTCACACATGCAGTCGTCCCTCAGTAAGACATCTGGAGCTGCATAGTTCCTGTATAGAACTTTTATTCAGCCTGTCACACGACCAGTTTCACCTGTGTGGCTTCTTCAAGTGTACAGAAGCTAAGTGACACAAGTTCACGAAGTTCTGACTTTCATACCTATCCAGTGCATGGTGCCCTGGTCAGTGGTAACATGATACCATGCAGTTCCAAAGAAGGGATTTCAACACTCAGGATTATATACCACTGGTGATAGCAGTGAGGATTTTATCACTGGAGACTAGCATGGGTATTCTGACATAGATTCGCCATTCGATCTCTGTCAACACAATTCTTACATAGGAGACAATAATGGGATGTTGACAATGTTGATTGACCATAGTTAGCTGCCTCACCTGTGCATTTCTGTCCTGTAAGCTGCACGGTTGTGAGAACCCAGAGTCCATGAGTCCTGCTGAGGGCTGCTGTCTGTCGGCAGGCAGGTCCTGGGGTGGGGAGCACGGCTCCGAGCTCGAGTCTGGGGGCGAGTCAGGCAGGGGCCTGAAGGAAAAACCATGAGCAAACCATGAGCCAGAAAAAAATCTTAGTAGTATGTCATGATTATTAAAATATGGTATCATGGACACAATGTTGTCACAAGTTTATTTTCTTTGTTATATTGATGATTTGTAGACAGGGACCCATTGAAAATAAATTTTTGTCAAACTTGAATGGGCCACCTAGCTCTCTGAAAATTCAACAGATAAATGTAATTTTTCAACTTCTCTTTCGATTTTCCACTGACCTCGTATAGTAACAATATCGTCATCCTCTTCATCTACCCCCAAATAACCCCATCAGGGGAAAAGCTGGGGGGCTTTGAGGCCACAGGCAGGCTTTTAGCCTAGCCAGTAATGACTCAACTGTTGAAGCTCTAACTACCAAGCCAGCTAGATCAGGTTTTTCTCATGAATTTATAAGTGTTACCCAGGGCAAAATGACTTTTACTTATGGTCAAATTACATTAAACACACAAGGCTGAACACCTTAGAACAACACCAAAGTTGTCAAGAGACGATTTATCACTTTCACGTCATTGCCCTATGTGGTCTCTAGTCTGCCTGAGGGTATGCCTACTTTAAAAATAAACTAGAAAGACTAGATAGCAAATGTGCATCACAATGGGTTGGGTGTGTTATCTACTGTAGAATCATCTACAATCAAAGCAAACGTGAGAAGATACAGTTACTCGAATTTCTGCACCCTTATCTATTACTATTATTACCTGTAACAACAACCATACTTCATTGCTCTTTTGTGGTCCAAGTCGCGGACTTCATGTTTCATTGCAACTTTGAGTTGTTTCAACGTTTACGAGGCAAAAACCTAAACTTTGATCTGTGCAGGTCAAGGATAACCTGTATGAAAAAGGTTAATGACTTGTGGTTGTAGGTTGGATTAGTAACTTACATAGCATGTACTGTACTGAGTATTCAGCACTGCAAGGAAACCTATCTTTAAGCACAATGTAAAATCATGGGTAAAGGTGAAGAAAAGGAACCTTTATGCATGATTTATGGATTTTGTATGGTGCAATAACCAAACCAAACACATAGAAAACACAGAATCAGGGTAGGAAAATTACCCTATGTAGCCATTGAGGTCGTTGTGGTAATGATTAGGGCCTTGAGCCTGGGCCTGAGCCTGACTGGGTGCAGTGTTGGAGCCAGCAGTGAATCCTACTGTAGTAGGCTGGCCACCTTGGATATCAGGAAAATACCTGCAAAACATGGATTAGACAGATTATTTTCTATCAGGCTGCAAGTGCAATTGCAAGTGCAACAATAAAATAACCATTGTCTCTGTGTGGTTACCAACAAAAATTAAGTTTCTAAACCTTCCCTTGCTTATTATAATCATATATCATGTTTCTAACTCTTCCCTGCCTCAGACTATGGCCTTAAAATCATGTGTATTTTGTATGCATTTGAGAAAAGTCTTTTCTCTATAATGGGAAACACATCACAAAAAGATATCTTAGATAGAAGGGGGATTGGCAGTGACTAATGTACATGTAGTACTGTACTCACACGTCCGGCTCGTCTTGTGTAATGAAGTCATGAAGTTGCTGAAAGTCGAGCTCTGCTGACAGTTCACTGATGTTGTCACCTGGATAGGGAGGAATTATAGAAGTGGTCAGTGAGTTGTAAGTAAAATGACAATAGTAAAATTTTACATTCATTTATAATAATGAACACACTTGAAACTAGCCAAAGAGGTATTTGTGACAGAGATGTTTCACATTACGACTACATGTATCTAGTTTTTCTATCTGCTATTCACGATACTTGAAGGTGAACCTAAAAACACAATCTGGCTGTAACCGGTACTACGTATGTAACCTATTAAAACATGAAAGGTCTTTGCTCTGAAGTGAACTCTTGTTTTCCAAAAGCACTTCCAAAACAAGGTTGCAAGAAATTGTGGAGCATTGAATGGTGAAAATCTTTTTTTAATCAAGATAACAGGTGGTTATATTATAAAAACATCTAACTTTGGTTGACAACTGAATTAGTATGCTAATGATGTCACCAAGTTAACACAGTCTTTTTGACAAGTTGACTACTGTCCCTTTTAGTAGGTAAGTGACCTACTGTACATATACCATACTCCAGTAACTTGATACAAGCCGGCAACAAGGGATCATTCAAAACTTTCATGCATACCAAACCAAAACCTTTCATATCTCCTCTTTATCATATTCATAATGCAAAAATAATTTGAATAGAGCACATTATCTATTCAAAAGTACTTCAACAGGGAAGTTGGATATCATAAGTTATATAGGCCTTTTCCTCCTGGCATAGAAAACCAGTGTACCATAACATGGGGTGATGTTTTTAGGTAGTGAGCAGCAGCCACACCCACTTACAGTAACAAGGAAAATAACCCGCATGGAATTTACGTATTTCTGGCTAATGTAAATATCTATATAATCATAACAAGTTGATATGATTAACTAAATTGTGCTCAGAAATCATATATAAAAGTAATCAAACATTGAAATTTCTTGGGAAAAATAAATTGGTCTTGAATCATTTAATTGCTTCCCTATCTTCAGGGTTGTACAAGTCCCATTGCCCACTTGCCCAGGGCAAGTAAAAGTACTGTTCGGGCAAGTAAATATTCCCCAGTACTTGCCCGATTGGGGAAGTAAATTTTAGGATGCAAAGTATAGCCCCTGCATTATTTCGATCAAGTTTCAAACAATTTTGATGAATAAAGCATCCAATAAATAAACTCTTCTATAATAAAATAATTTCCTTTCTGCTAGTAAAATGAATAGAAATGCGTCATATTTTGGGCAAGTGAAAAATTGGTTTGGGCAAGTGAAAATGACCAGGTACTTGCCCAGTAGGGCAAGTGGATTTTTGAAAACTTGTCCAACCCTGATCTTACTAATCTGGCACATATACTTCCTGTGCCACTGGGCATGGCAGAATGAAAAGAAGCACTAGAAGCAGTAGAAACAATATGTATAGAAAATTATATAAACTTACTATGCCATTGTACTTAGCAAACAAACATGTATCTGGTAACAAAGACGAAATCCAAAACTGTGGTAGTTAATACCCAGAACAAAATGTTACAGGGGATATCGGCAAATATAAACGGATTAAACTGAGAAGAAAGCTTTGAGAAACACCTTAAATGAAGGAAGATAAAAATTACACAAGTGACATTTAGAGGGTAGCAAAATGTTGGAAACTAAATGTAGGTTTCTAAAAACTGTCAAACTATTAATAAAACTGCTATCATCTTAAGGATGATAATGACAATGCCACAAAAAGAAAAGAAAAAGAAGAAAAAAAAGTAGAAAAACTCACCCCAGCTCAGATATATAGGGTTGTACAAATTTTTTTCAAATCACACAGTACCCATAATGGATGACTAATCCTAACTCTACTTGGAAACTCCCCTACCCCTAAACAATGACAATACACAAGGATTCAATTTGAAGTTGTGACGTACATCTACCTAATACTTTTATTGAACAAGTACTAAATATAAGCATGACGAGAGTTCCACACACGCCACCCTTATTTGTTTGCCTCTTTGTTTGTTTCCAGTTCCCCTTGTGACGGACATTCATCTATATTGGCTAACAAAGAAAATATCATCTGCAACCTGTGAAGTCTTTGAAAAAAACATCAGACATATCCGCATTCCTTTATCTCATTAATCATGCATTGAAATTGTAACATTGCCATTGTTACATTATGCACGGTGGCACAGTTGGGGGCCTTTTGTTTTCACCAGGCAAGTGGCACTTGTGACCTATGGTAACCTGCAGCACACACAATGGTCCCAACAGGTAACAGGCACAAACCACCTGACGTCACAGCTATGATGTCACAGCTACAGTCACCTGACCATCCTGGCATATTTAAGTAAACATGTGTATGTACATGTATGCTAAGACTATGGTAGGGGGTACACACTAATATTGACCCAATGATTGTGTCACTCGGGCAGCTAAATACTTTTTCTACTACTTCTAAAGGGTGTTTTTGTTCTCATTATGTAAATGATACTTGTGGTCTTAAGTGACCTACAGGACGTACAATCGTTCCAGCAGGTAACAGGTACAGAGCACGGATTATGTAGATGTTTGACGTCACAGCCAGAATCAGATGACAACTTTAAAGTTTGTACGTAGGTTTATGCATGTCTGCCTGAGAACTTAGATGGGAGGGAGACTAAAATATTGGGCTGTCGGTGGCAGTTCCTACTCCCTTTACTCCATACAACTATCAAACTTTTACTCATCCACATTTACAATCCCCCTTTTTAGCTGCTAATTTTAACAAGAATCTTTTGTTTGTAACATTGTCACTAATCCCAAGAAATAATAGAAAAAGTCATTAAACACTTCCTAATGAAGAAAGTAGAAGGGGGAGGGGTCAGACAGAAAATTCCATGGGATATGAAGATTGGGTACCAGAAAAATCATTTCTCATACTTGATAGACAGAAGTCAAACCTTTCTTTGCACCATGCTAATGAAAAGAGGGGCTGTCATACTCATAGCAGATAAAACACCCATCTGTCTTATACAAGGAAAAACAAACACTGTACTAAATAGTCATGATTTACCACATTACAGGCACATGGGATGATTTTATCTTAATTCAACACAGATTAACAAGTGAAAAATCAAGATCTTATACATGTAGGTGAACAAACATTGTTCAGGTGTTTATGACCTTCATCTCAATTCTTGACCTAATCCTGTGCCCAATAAATCAGTTACGTGTAGACCAGTCTTCTGCACACATAGGGGGAAACACCACATGCTACGGTGAAGAGTCTAGAATGGAAGATGCCAATACAGGAAGTGGTTGGTGAGTCAGAGTTGACATGTGGCTGGTGCCAGGAGGAGCCAGGACAGTAGTCACACAAACTTTACCTCACAGGAACTCAAACTCTGGACTCTACACTAACACTAGCAGCTCACTGCTTCTGTAAACACACTAAAGGTCATGTACATTCATCTATTTGTACCTCTACAAATATACACAAATGGTACGTTTGTATTTTTGGTTAGGATATAGCTAAGCATATACATGATGTAGCTACCCAGACGTGACTACTAATTCCTGTCCTGTAATGTAATGTAATGTATAAATAAAATCATGTAAAGTATAAATAAAATCATTTAATTTTCTACAAAAATTCCAATGTCTAATGCTACTACAGCAAGGAACCTTGTTTGATGAAAATAAAAACTGATACAAACTTAAATGCAAACTTTAAGAATATCTCTGCATACTATTACTAGTAGAAGTAGAAAGCAAGGAGATATGGGGCTTAATTTTAAGGTGGTTAGAAGTTTTTTTGACTTTGAGACGGGAATTAAGGTTGGAGCATGTACTGGTACGGCTGAGAAATTCCATAAGGTTGCATATGGAAGTTAATTTTTCCATTACCTTACCTAGCACTCTTGTGCAGAAGGAGAAAACAGGAAGTTCTGCTCATCTGGTTTTAGTTGACACCTCCCCCTCACATTGACCTCTGGCTAGTTCAATCACATTCACTGTTCCATTAAAATTTAAATGGCTTCCTATGATGTACGATAAAAATTACACATTTTGCAAAACTATGTTCGAAAGAAATGAAATCTTAGAATGGGAAATTCTGAAAATGGCACTGCTAAACTAAAAGCCAGTTGGAGACATCGAAAAAAGATAACCATAACCTTTGCAACGGTGTGATGGACACAAGTGATTGTTCTAAGTTTGGGATGGAAAACATTCTAACCTTGATCATGACCTCACCCTGAATGGAGAAGCTTGGAGTCTTGGACACTTTTCTGATTAGCTGTCTTTTCAACCTTGAAATGTGGGTCACAAATTCTTGCTTGGTGAAAGCTTAACCATTCGCTCTAAAGATATGCAGTAGGCATTTCCTGTGGAGTCAGCAAGATGAAAATCATCTGATTCTTTCCAGCTACACAGGAAATATCAATATCACTGGATACAAGAACTACATTTCCCTGAGTTGTTCTCGCCTTGTACTTTTCAGCACATGGTCAGTAAAATAGGCCGAAGTAAGTCATGCTCATCCGATGTTTAAACAGTTTTTACAGGAACTAAGTACACTGGTAGTGTGCAAAGGATTGAGCCAATTTTTATCATGATAAAAATATTTTTACTTCTTAACCCCTTATAGTTATACACCTATATTATCAATAATACATTTTAGTAAGTACATGTACATGTACATGTGTATTCACAACTCAAACTGCCACATAATTGTTTCCCACACTATGGGATTAGGAGAATGTAGTAAAACTTTTTAAGTAAACAAATGAAAATTACCAAAATTCTGTACTTCATAAGACAGGACAAAAAAATACAATATTGCCTGAGTACACAACCTTTTAAAATTTTAGAACACAGAACTAAATTTAAATCTAATACCTTCTGTTAGGCCTTAAAAGTATACCTTACTGTTAAAACGTATAAAACAAACAGTACCCACTACGACATTACCTAGTAGTAAACAATATTTTGTACCAACTTCATGGCAGTATTGGATACTTCAGAAAACACAAGACATTGACGCTACCTGGAAGTCTTCTTGAAGCTGCCCAGGTTCTTGGAAAGGCTTTCATTCCCTGCACGGTCCATAGTGAATACATATCAGATCACTTTCCCTTGCTTTATACCATATGGCAGAAGGGAGAACTCTCTTTTACTAGTGACCCCGCATGCTGCTCTTGCCTCATTTTAGGGACAAGTCAAGTGATATTTAAAGGGGAGGAGGAGCCAACTAGTACAGGGCTACATAGATCATTTTTATCTACATCCCTGTGCTTGTTAGCTATACTCTGAACTTTTATAAATATCACTCACCAATTGTAAAATATCTATTCCAGGGAAAATCATCTTTTTCTCCTCACAAATTTTTTAGAAAGTTGACTGGTAGTTCTAAGATTAATGTACAGTCCCTGAGGTCAGAGGTAGGACTTTTTCTGCTATGATTGTGACCCTAACTTCCTGAGGTTGTACTAAAGTTACAACTGGGGATGAGTCACGAGACATGTGTGCCTGTAAAAACCTCAATGGTCAGACTCTTCCATTTTTAAATACCAGGGAATTCTATGGCATTATGCCACAAATGATAAGCCTAATGATAATACAAAAGTGTGCCATACTTGGCAACAGTGCCAGCAAACCCCATGATGCAACATATGTTAGCAGAGTATTTGTTTGTAAGATGATGATGATAACTTAGATCTTTAAAGCGATTTGGCTCAAGTCTTGAAAGACATTGAAAAATACACAATACAGTATATCAGAATATTTATCAGCTTTGCAAAACATGAATTTGATACTGTAAGATTTTATAGTGTGAGCTTCACCCTCAAAATTACACTGACTTGTAACATAACCAATGCATATCCAAAATTGATATTACAACGAGAGCAGACAAAAATGTAATAATACCCGTAACATGCAAAGCCACCTGCAGGTTTTAAAAGGTGAAAATGTTGACATTATACATAAAAAAGTCAATAGAAAAGAAAACTAACCAGAACTTTTGCAATCTCTTGCTAAATGGGTGTATCTCCTGAAGCCAGCATGTGGCAAGCCATCAAGGAAATGACTATTTCCAAGCTGTCATCACTACATGGACTGCTGTACTTAGTAAATAAATTTTTACCCTGGAGTCAAATACTTTTGCCAAGGAAAAAAAATTTCATGCCAATACAAAATATATGGTAAAGACGATTTCAAATACAAAGTAATCGATGAGTTTTACGACAATTTTCAAAAACAAACTTACATTTCATAAACATCATTCCTTGTAACAGAAAATTTTCAGGTAGGGTGTTGAGTAGAGTAGAGTAGTCTAGTAAAGTAGAGTAGTATTCCTCTTAAAATTGATCCCAAGACCACACAAGGCTGTTTGTTCTTAGTGGTCAATATTTTACTCTGAATAGACATCTTCTTATGCAGACATTAACATGCACGCATGTGAAATGCAGACAGATATCAATAAATTCAAAACAAAAGGGATTTGTAATCTTGTTAGCTAAAGATAAAGACAGTACTACTAATGACCTGAGTGGGGAGTCTGAGAATGAATTAGAAATGTATCCTGGTAACATCATAGTTTGTACCTTCTCCTCAAATGGTATAGCACTGATACACATAGGTATGACTCATCTTAAAAGTGAAAGGTTTACCACAGTCACACAATGGTGTGATGTGGTAAACCAAGAAAACCTTCAGTATTATGTTCAAGTCATGGATGAAATATTACATTCAGAGCTGCAAATACATGTTGACAAGTGTACACAACAATCTACTCAGATATTTTTTTCCAAGAGAATGAATTATATGAATTAGGAGACAATTTTACCATAATAATAATACAACAGGTCTCTATCTATCTATATATGACATAGTATTTCTACACTCCTATCATGTTGGATTGCCATAAATGAAGTCAAAGTAACATGTATCTTTTGCGTTTTGGTTCATACTGACACATTTCTAACCCTTCACTTGTATTGCGGCTAAAAAGTAAAATTCTTCAGTTCAATGCCTTTTCTTATCCTATTGAGTTAATCACTGAATGCTTCTGATTTTGTAAAATTTGTTGACTGCATAACCATAGCATCCAAAATCTCCAGCTAATAAAAAGACGACAATAGGGATCTTGGATCTACAATCAGTTTTGAGAGACAAAAAAAGAGCTTTACATACCTTGTCTTCCTGTCTATTCTACACAAGGGACATATGATCTGTGTTTATGTCTGCTAGTGTGCTACAGGTAGACTTTACAAGTGCACTCTTGCACAAATGAAACCATGAATATTTCATGATTCTGCTGCATTAGGATTCTTCCAGGTTTACATGGTCACGGAATGGCCATGGTTTTCAAGGGAAAACATCCAGAAAATGTACTCTTCATCATACTCACATACAGAGAATACACACCGGTGTTGATTTGTTATGCCAATGAATGAATATCATCTAGATAACTAATGATAAACAGCAACGTCACTGACAGCAAGTGGTAGACAAAAATCGGATGGTAGTTGGATGATTTACTAACAAATAATTCAATAAATTTTAAGACATCAAAAGCAGAGATTGCTTGATATTCTCTTTTACAATTTTCTTTTCATTCACCAGCTTTTATTTGCAATCAATAACTACAATGTATTTACTAGTCAACAATATTGATGGTAATGTCTATAATATTACTCTTGACTTGTCACAAACAAAAAATTCCATTCACTTGTTTGCTACACTTCAACTTCTCAATATTTTTTTTACAATTGGTCAGTCCAAAGAGGCTATAACCTCCTTGCTCAGTCTAACTACCTGTTAGTATAATTTGTACTTTGTATGGCAAGTTAACAAACTGGTCAACAGCAACTAAACTGAGCTGCAGAACACAGTTCATCATCATCAAAGTGAGTAAATACATGTTCCTTATACTGAGTTTATTTTCCACCCTCACAACTTGAAATGGAATTTAGTAAGGCTAAATAATGCTAGAAATTATAAATACAAATACTCTAAAATCCTTGATTTTCCACTAATTATGCAGGTAGTGCATAAAACGAGGAACTCATAAGCTACTATCACTCTAACGCTAAACACCACTAGTGAAAAGTCTTTTGTATTTATTTACACAATCTCGGCGAAGTGGGAGGGGTAAAGTCCTTCCCACTTCTGCTGCCCTTGAAAGTTAATCTTCTCTTCAAAGGAACCATCTGCGGTGTCCGACAACCACAGGAAATAACCTCACATTAACACTGACTTGATAATTACTCGCCGAGTCACCTCCTACCGTTTAAACTGTGCATAATGTCGCGAGGCTGCCGGGAAAGATGCGCAGTGACCAACTACTAGTAACCGCGAAGTTCGTTTGTCCAACTTCCCTTCTCAAATTAATGCAATTCTGGGGTTCTTACAATACTAATTTTTTCTCAGAATATACCAATTATGGCCTGTATGAAGTATATAACCAATATTAGGGTTGACGGAAGCGTCGTAATTATCTTATCTGACGACTAAAGTACCGTCTTGCATCGGTGACATACTGGAAGGACACCATATTGTTTACCAATCGCCATATTCGACTCAAGTAAAACGTCCTAGAAGACGATTGATTTCAGACGATTTTGACTCACCTAGGATGGCCTGTATGGCCTGATCGTCTCCCAGGACGTCCATGGCGGCCTACCGGCCCTGCCGGGTGTGTTGACGGTAGTTGTTCGCGTCTGCTTACGGCTGTCAGGCCGACTAGCCCCGGGGATCCATTCCACCAAGTCCCGTCCCCTCCGCCATGAAAACTCTTCTGAAGCTGTTACAACAACCTCCCCACAACTTATTCCTATTTGTGGAATTTAGCTCATTTTAAAAACTTCAGTACAAAGTTTGAAAATGCTGTACGTTTAAGAGGCAGAAAAATTTTGATTTGTACAATTATCTACAATGCCAATGCTATTTTGTTGTCTTTTGAGAATGATTCTCATATGGGACAGCTGTTACATTTCCTCCCTCCGGAGAGCTACAACCTATGACGCAACAGAAATGTCAGGTGACCGACCTGGGCCACCTGACAAACGCCGGAAACTTGCACCAACTTCCAAGAAAGAGAAGTCGCATACTGTTCCACGCAGATATATTTAACACATAAGTCATTTGTTTGCTTTTGACAATCCGTTTAGTTGTTCTTGCTACACACATTGACCGTATTGTATTGTTTGATATTTCGCTGGAATGATGTTTGCTGATCTTTGTAGGTGACCGTTTTCTTGGAAGAGAATCGTTTCCGCATCAGTTTCGCTCAGTGCACCAACAGTTTTAAATGCCTGGCAAATATACAGTTTTTTTTTCTTGTTCCTTGAACCGATGGGTACGATCATGCTTATGTTAGCGTAACAAAAAAAAAACAATAACTTCTTGTTCCTCGCCTGCCTCGAAACTCCCTTTTTCTCCCTAACTGGATATCTCCTTTTAATTCGGACGGAAGCACCAAATATTGTGTCAAATTTGTGGAACAAATTGAAGAATGTCTTATTGCAACTGCATGACGTTCCTCCCACTCATTTATAGTCATTACCATTGCTGTGACTGAAGATGCAGAAACTTGTAGATGATGATGATGACGACTGTTCAATTTTTACTTTATCCGGTAGAGGCCGCTTCTAACCAGTCTATCTTGCAAACATAGCATGCTAATGTAGCAAAGTGCGTTCAATTTGTACTATTATTGCTTGTCAACGGTTAATTTTGCAACATAAATAACTTCTTTTTTATATTGGTGGGTACATTGCTTAATAAAGTGCTGTCCTTTATCATGAAACATCAAAATGAATTGATACCTTTTTTTTTGTTCTTGTTGACTGGATGCGCTCCTCTCAAAAATGTATTCGTATCTTGACAGACAGGATGCCGACCAAATAAGACGCGACGACCGATTTTGGAGAAAAAGTAAGAAATATTTGCAATTTATCGCTTGAAATTTGAGCTGTAGGGAGCCCAGGTAATTGTTACTTTATGCTTAACCCTTTAAATTAGCTGAAAATGCCGTCAGTTTCTCAGTTTTTGCGAGTTGGCGTGGAGTGTCTTTGTCTGGCGGGAGCCGCCTTGCGATGGGCGGGTGCGTTGTTTGAGTGGGGAGGGGGGCATTTTAACTTCATTTTGTAACTTCATAGTTTTATAGTTTTGCGTGGATTCCATGTCGTCAAATATATCTCTGCGCACTATATTATATAACGCATAGTCACGTAGCGTGTATAAACAAGGCGCAGAGTTGTTTTTAAGGTTCTCTGTTGACCGTGGTGGAAAAATATTTATGATAAACAAGGCAAGGTCCTTGCTGTAAAATGCCGTCATAATTTGTAGCCTTTTCGGGTGTTTGACAGGGGTTGAGCACAGAATGCTAGAAACTTGCTTAAAGTTCAAAGTTACATACAAAATTAAAGGACGAAAGAAGTTGGGTGAGAAATACTTTTGATTGAGATATTATAATTTGTGTGACTAGGTCGAACCACATACAGATGCTCACAGTGTATCCTTTGGTTTAGGATCTACATATCTTCTTGATCCTTGAAGATGGCACTGAGTCCAGGGCAGCCTGTTGGGGGACTAGAGACAGGCATGAAGCTGAACTTCCCCGAGCAGCATGCCCAGCTGGCACAGTGCCTCGACGCCCTCCGGCAGACTGGGCGGTACTGCGACCTCACGGTCAAAGTACAGGACAAAAGCTTCAGGTCAGACTTCAGGAATGAAGATGCACACTATTCATTGTAACCTTTTCTTTTCAAATCCGCAATAAAATCTATGGATGAGTGTGTAAATCTTTACATTTTATCTTAAAATGCTCACTCGTAAGAAGTCATTATGAAGCAAGTTCAATCTGTAATTTCCAACACAAGAAATTGGATTTACTTGATGAAGACTGGGGATGTACAGTTTTGGATATGTTCAATTTCTTGTGTTGGAAACAAAGTCTGTGTTTTGTGAGTCTTTTGTGGTTCTCACAATGAAAAAGAGTTTTTTTGCTGGTCAGCCTTACTGTGCAAATGTGTTATTGTGCTGTATCGCTAGAATAACAGTAATGTGCTGTGTATTAACTTGCAGCTGTCACCGTGCTGTCCTGGCCTGCCGGACTCCGCTGTTCCAGTGCCTGGGAGATGACCCGATCGTCCGTGTGGACTTCCTCCATCCTGCTGCCTTCTCAGCACTCCTGGACTACATGTACACTTCAGGTACTAACAACTACATTGACAGTGTTGTCACATGTAAGATGTTTCCAAGGACCGGAGCTCTGATTTGCAATAAAGATCATGTACATGTATATAAGAGGAGATATAAACTTTAAACTTTATTCATTCAACCAACCTTGCAGTACACACATGCATTTGCATTGAACTGAATTGTGTTGATCTTACATTTTAAAATTTGGAAAACACTAAGAAGAATTGATAACATTTAACAATTAAAAAGATATCATATTACATCCCATTGCGATCATCATAACAGTATAAGTACGTCGACACATTAAAAGTTTTCTTTGTCAATAGTTAAAATCTTCTATCTGCGGATACAATGGACACAAAACAAAACAGAGGTACATATATACATACTGGCAATGTACATATTATGCCTTTCCTTGACATGAAGCATGGGCCTTAGTGTGCGTTTTGCAGTTATTTATTGGTAATGAAGTTTGTATTTATTGGCAAAGAAACAGATCATTACAAGGGTCAGCAGACTGGGCAGAAGTAAGCTGGTAACAGCTGGCCCACAAAAGTACAGACATGACACATAATTTAAAAAAAAAATGAATTAGAATCTAATATTAGATAAGAGGTCATCTGTGTTGGTAGTTACATGTTTAAATTTTAAACATTTGATCCAACACAAAGAAGTTGTTCTCTCACCTAGACCAAAACTGTCCTATTTGATGATAGCTGAGGTGGTTTACATGTGTATTAATAAAAAAAAATTATGTTATGCAAAGATGAAGAGTTAACTGGGCTAAAGAACAGCAGATGTCCTCTGTTCTCAGTCATTCGTGAATTGTTTCTACCATTTATTCTATTTTGTCCCTACCATACCACAGCAAATACATATATGCCTACATTTGTATGTTTGAATGTTTTCCTTTATCCACAGAACTGACCGTGTCCAGTGAGAGCTGTAGTGATGAAGACCTTCTGGCCACTGCTCAGGCCCTACGGCTCCACCCTGTGGTCGAGTGGCTCACAGACTACCTCAAGGCTAAGGGAGCTGTCGACAAGGTATCGTTAGAGAGAACTTAGAGAAATTATAGGGCTAGTTTACTTGATGTTAAGTAACCACAAGCATTTCTGAAAGCTTTCTTGACGAAAGCAATGATTGTTAGGGTTATGGTATATAAATGATCACAATTGTTTATATCATTAGTATGTACCTCCAATGCTTAGTTCAGTTTAGTTGTGACAATAACTTGTGTCATATTTTGCTTTGTTGCTATACAGGTACTGGAAGGAGAAGGAAACTTACAAACTGCGGCACCATCTTCACTTTTTTTACCTTCCACTACTGATAACCTGACTTCCAACGCAGTGAGCACCCTCTTTCCAAGAGTCAGTCAGAATCTTCCCTTGCCTTTTCTGAACACCAACGCCTCCTTCAGTCCTCATACAGAACTGCAGGGGGCCTCCACAAGCCTTGGGCAAAAGCAGCCAATCGAGAGCTTGTTCTTCAAGAACACAGGGAAATCCAATGGAGCCACAGTAACAACAGCAGATGCGAGCAACGCTGCACCTGGGAGGGATCCACAGCTGTGCAGCTGTCACAGGTGTGGAGTACACTTCCTTAGTGCCAAAGTTTTGAAGCAGCACCTGGCAGTGTGTGTGGCAGAGGTGGGGGAAGGGCCCAGCTGCAGCCAGGACAGGGTTGCAGAAACTTCTCGTCACCAGAGGCCAGTGTTCGGCTGCTCCAGGTGCTCCCAGTACTTCATAAGTGCCAAGACTCTGCAGATGCATCTGAAGGTATGCAGCCGCCTGCAGGAGTACAGGTGCAGCCTGTGTCAGCTCAGGTTTGTGAGTCAGCGCGCCCTGGACTTCCACACCAGGGACTGCTGGAAGTCCATCCAGGAGTTTGAAAGCCCGCAAGGCTCCAGAAATACAAACAGAGGAGGAAACTCTGAGAAGCCGAATGAAGCGCGCTCGTCTCCTCGCCAAAGAGGGAAGGGTGATAACAGTGGAGCCCCTCAGCAGAAAACGTCCCAACAACAACAGCCCAGGAGCAGCAGTGACAAGAGCCTTGAGGAAGAAGAGAACATAGAAGCATCAGACAGCCAAGAGGTTCTGGTGTTAAATGCTAAAAAATCAACCGTCGACATCAGCAGTCTGATCACATGTAAGCAGTACAGCTGTAGTCAGTGTGCCAGTAGTTTTCCTACTCCCCACAAACTACAGCTCCACAAGCAGCAGTGCACCAAGTCTGCCGTTCTGGTAGGCCATCAACAACGACAGAAGTGGGTGTGTGCTAGGTGTACACTGCCTTTCCCAACAATGTTATCCTTGAAGAACCATGGGCCCTGGTGTAAAAAACAGTCCTCTGACAACAGGAATGGGGCAGTAAGTGACAAAACAGCAGCCAGCAGTAGCACAGAGGCCCAGCCCATAGAAAAAGCCACTGTGCAAGAGGCTACTCCAAATAAGCAAGGTGCTAGTGCTAAGTCTCCAGACCAGACACCAGATACTTCCAGCTCCGTAACATCTGAAAAGGGGTCTGAAGAAACTACAGCAGAACCAAGTAAGAAAGATCCCAAGCCTGCGAAAGACAGGAGTAAAGATATTGTGGAGAAAAGTAACAAGAAGAATACCAGTCTCACAAGGAGAGCTTACAGCGATGGCAGTAGTCCAGTCCTTACTACACTGAGAAGCAGCCCAAGGCACATGGGTCGAACACTCAGAAGCAGTCCCAAGAAACCCCACATCTTGAGCAACGTTGCCAAGGGCAACCTAAGGATCAAGCTGATGAAGAAGGTGCATAAAGCAGGGACTTCTCAGGCAGCTAGAAATAGAAGAAGTGTGTCAGCAGCTGTCTCTAGCAAAGCAGCTGGCTCCAGCATAGCTGCTGGTACCAGCAAAGCAGCAAGCAGTGCTGAAAAAGCAAACACTACTCCCGGGGCGGCAAGAGAGAAAAGGGCAAGTGAAGACAGTCCAAATACAGCAAAAAGGCAGAGAAAAGGCACTTTGGTTCCCAGCAAGAAGGGCACTCTACCAAACAAGGCACAAACTGGGAAGGACCCCACCACAGAGCACAAAAACACAACTCGTGCACGAGAGGAGCAGAGCAAGACCAGTAAAAATTCGAGCGCTGCCACTAGCACAAAACAAAGACCCCGGGTTGTTTTAAGGAGAGTTGACCCAGCCATGGGGACCTCAAAAGGTAGCAACACCATCTCAGCAAACATAGACACAGTTATAAAGCTGGAGCCGGAGGATGATGACTCAGACATGTGGGGAGGTACCAGGAGTCCACAGCAGCGGAGTGGGAGGAACTTTGGCTCTCCTGAAACCAGCATGTTCTCTGCACAGTATCACTGCAACAACTGTGGCCTCAGCTTCCCACAGAGAAAGGCTATGCAGGACCATGAGGTCAAATGCAAACAGGTAAGGGTAAGAAGTGTGTGAAGTGACTGCATGTTGATATTCTTTCACTTCAGATTGCCCATCCCTGACATTGTGAAAAGGGATGTGTAAGGCACCTCAGGACATCTGAAGTCTTGGACTGGACTTCAAGTGAAATTTTACGAAGACGATTTGATGAATCAGGAGACTTTCCAGTTTTTGGAGACAACTACGGTCTACTTAAACAGTAGATGAAATGTAGAAAAGCTGACTACCGGTAATGATGATAGTAATGCCTGTTTGACTTGTGTTTATGTAAATCACATAGCTGCTAGCTGTGGAAGCATGCCTTTTGCAAGACGTTTTTTTTTTAAATTGCAAGTCACTGATTCTAATTCACAGTCATTCTTCCCCCTCAAAAATTACTTCCCGTTTCAGTCTCGTATTTTTCATCCAAAACCTGACTCTAGTTGAGAACCCTGTCTAAGAAGTGGGAAAATAGTTTTGTAGTAGAAAGTAAAAGAAAGGCAATTTTTCTCCAGGCTTTTGAGGAGGCATACTGCCAACAGCTCAGCAAGGCTGCTAAGTCGCACTGCTGCCAGACGTGTCTGAAGCTTTTCTCCTCTGACAGCAGCCTTAGGGCCCACCGCCAGGCGTGCCAGGGTGCCGTGCTGTACCGCTGTAAGATCTGTTGGGAGGACACCGACCAACCCAAGGCCCACATGGAGAAACACTGGCGCTGGCACCGGCCCGCCGAACTACGCAACAACCCTTGTCTTAGCATCGAATCGGATCTGCCTCTGATCAAGTCTTTGTACATGTCAGTCGTAAAGCCAAACGAGAAATGGTCGTGTACCCTGTGTGAAGTAAAGAAGGGAAACGTCAGCGGAAGGTCAGCAGGGAGAGAATTCAGGGACAGGTTATCTCTATGGTCGCATCAGACATCTGCTCACAAGGTTGTCTGGAGGAACCTGACCTGTGGGGAGTGCGCGGGATCGTTCAAGTTCAGCGTGAGGGTGGAGTATCTCCGCCACATGTTTGCGAATCATGTCGAACTGAGGAAAGCACAGAAAGCGTTCCATTGTCAGGTCTGTGGAAAAGTATTCCAGGACAGGGGCTTGTTGGAGCTTCACCTGTACAGACATGGTAAACACACAGCAAAATAGGCAACTGTAACAAACAAACAAACAAACAAACAAAATGTGTGTTACTTCTCAGGCCTTTATGTAGTAACTTACTTGTTGAAACAGATACAGTTCATTCTTTAGACCAGATCACTTAATTTTCAGTCCAAGACATTTGAGCATAAGTAAAAGAAAGTATATAATCTCAGTTCTGTGATCTGAACATTACCTCTACCAAACTATAATTATTTTACTAAATATGTGTTACTCTAATAGTTCAATAGCAAAAATTATCTTTGATTTTGTAGACAAGTTGTGTTTTCTTAATACTAGAGTAATGACCACGTTAATTTTGAGTAATGTATGGTACATCTACATGTACATGTACCTGACAGTATATCTACATGGACATGAAGACAGATTGTCACACATTGTTTTTGTCCCTTTTTATGAGGGTACCTTGTTACTGTATGTATTATCCCCTATTTTTTTTAGTTGGGACTATAGAATATTCCCAAGTTTAAGCAGTTTGTTAGTGTCCCAGCTAGTACTAAGCAGTATTAGATCAGAACAATTTGTACATCTCACACCAATTTGTTGTGGTGCATAAGTAATTCCTTTGCGACTTTCATATTGCATTTTGCAAGTAGTAATCTTGTCAGGGTAAGATAGTACATCATATTGTGCATTTACTCTTCAGACCAGTATTACTGCAAAACTTATAAAGTTTCACAATTTAGAGTTCGAGATTTTTTTGCTGTCAAATATTCATTAGAGTTTAAAGATGGAGGCCTTTTCCCTAATTTGTTGGATTATTTTAGTTGCACAACTTATGATGACTGTTAACTTAGAATGTTTCAATCTGCTTTCCATGTTGATGACTTGGTGGCTAGTGGAGAGTTTAATATGAAGAGAAAGTGAATAGTGTAAGTTTGTGACGTGTAAGCATGTTGTCATTCTGGTAAAATAGTTTTTCAAGGTCTTGCTGTAGTATTCATTATCTTAGGCCCAAGTTGGTATTTTCTTCTACCGGTTGTACTTTTATTATTTCCATTCAAAATGCTCTTTGTTGTTTTAGTTAATTTATAGATCTCAGTTAAGTAGTTCTGTTATTGCCGTAGTGAAGTGAACATATATTATGTTCATGAAATTTGAACTTGTTGAAGTTAAAATCAACAGTAGTTAGTAAAAAGGAGCAAGGTGAATGGTGTTACATCAATTGACTTCATCATTTATACAGTACACCGTATGTGATGAACTATTGAAAAAAAAAGTAGAAAATTTGTTAACAGTTGTTATTGTTGTATATGTAATACTAATCATAACATGGTATATATTTGTGTGAATACTAGTATAGAATATGTGAAAAGAAAACTTTTGGATAGAAAAAAAAAACTTTTTCATTGCATGTTAGCATTGGTATTTTTGTTAATAAACATGTTATTTAGAGTTTACATGGCTCTTTCTTGATTACCTTCGCCAAGAAGGTTATGTTTTCGTTGGCGTTCGTGTGTGTGTGTGTGTGTGTGTGTGTGTGTGTGTGTGTGTGTGTGAGCACGATAACTCAAGAAGGCTAAGATGGATTGTCTTGATACTTGGTAGGTGGGTAGGTCTTCATGAGACGTGGAACTGATTAGATTTTGGGCCCCCTAACGGCTTGTTATGGTACTGCAGCTGAACTTCCGGTTTTGATATCTCGTGATCTAGACATGCTAGGGTGACGAAATTTGGATGGTAGGTAGCTCTTGTGCTGGGGAACAAGTGACGTGAGTTTGGACCCCCTAGCGGCTTGCTCTGGAATTGCAGGGGCATTAGTTGAAAAATGTTTAAAGGCGGATAACTCGAACCGATTGATGGATCGTCGTGATTTTTGGCATGTAGGTAGCTGAAGTGATGCTTGACATAATGTTATTACAATTATGCAAATATTAATGTAATTTGCATAATTAATGAGGAAATTCTATATATCAGCTGCATTCCATGATAGGACTATTCAAGCTTGTGATATATGTAATGCAGAACGACAGAAATACAGGCAGATATCGATTATGCAAATGAAGACTTAATTTGCATAATCAACGAGAAAATGTTATAATTACATAGTGGTAATGTCTGGAATTTCATACATGGGATATTTGAAAGTTATGTGAAGGTGAACATTATTAAACATAATTTATTCAAATAAGGACCTCATTTGCATAATTTATGAGGACATGCTATAATGGCATGCATTGATAAGATAAGACTGTCTTCTGGTGTAGAATATGATCAACAGATATAATTGATGCAATATAGGATCCTATTCGCACAATCAGGGGGATTAATCTATAATTTCTTAGTCATAAAGGCTAACATCAGTTGGCGAAGGTATGAGATCGTGGAACTCTAGTTATTGTTGAGTTGAATTCTTTATACTAGTAGTGATCTGTATGCTAGTAGATGGTTGGTTGCCTGTTGTAGGTCCTTCCTGTATATATACATTGTTGATATATTAGCCCATGCAGCCATACTGCTCAGTGAAAGATAAACTCTTTGCATGTTAGTATGTGATTAACGTTACTTTACGTTTACTGAAGTCTGTAAGTTATTTTTCCAGCACCTGTTGCTTTTTGACTACATTTTATGTACCGTTATGACAATAACATGGTAATCAGAGATAGCAGACTTCAATCCCTTTGACAGAACGTACCAAAGTTTCAGCGCGCAAACAGACAACATGTATCATGGTGCTAGTGCTAATGCTCGTATCACTCCCTTGGGAAAACAAGTCTCGCGCGTTTTGGTGAGAGTTTACGAGAGTTAAGATTGACCCGACAGAAGGGGCCGGTGTATTCAAGTACTTCCGGTTCACCAGCATTTTGGTACCTTTGGTGTTATTTAGAAGTGTCATGTAGCTTTCTCTCGTCTATATTTGCGCCAAGGGACAACTTTGGAGAGCTACAACAAGAGGTAAATACAGAAGAGTCACTGAAAAGAGCTACAAGCTCTACACAGGTAAGAGCAGTCAGCAGAAACATGCGGTCGAAGAGGAAGCCGGAACAAAGGAGGAGGTTTGAAGACCTATCTGGATCTGAAGAGGATGGAGAAGACGAAACACCCGACGCTGTTTCTGAACCCTCCGCCAAGGCTAATGTACAGAAACGTAAGGCAGGACCAGAGGCAGGGGATGCCGAGAGCTCCCTAGGTTCTGTCGGTAAGGCCAAAATGCCTAAGCACGACATAGATCTTGAACTAACGGTAGAGAACTGCGACTCGGACTCTGAGACCGCGTGTCCGCCTGTAGCCGCTAACGAAGAGGAAGGTGACACTAGTACCGCAGCGGAGGACACGACAGAACCTGCGGCAGGCTCCGAGGAACTGCCCGGGAGAACGTCTGGGGAAGAACCGGAGACGGACCTGGCGCAGACCATCGAGGCGGCGGAGGCGTACCGCGCCGCTGTCCGGGCCGAGATGTCCAGGACTCGGGCCGAGGGAAGACCGGAGGACGCCGACAAGCAAATTGTGAGAATATATTTTGTTTTCAAAAATAACCTTTTTAATCGTATCAATAAGCACTGTTGATTTGTCATGCTCCTATTTTCTTAGAAAAGTTAAAACCGTAATTTTGTCAATCAAAAATTATGTCAGTCTTGATCATACTCATACAATAATACATGTAACAGTTACTAGTACTATTGTACATGAATGCTCTCCTAAAAGTGTCTCCTTTCAGACCCTGGGCCCCAATGTGTGTCAAATGAGATTTTAGCAACGGCCCTGCAGCAGGGTTATACATTTTTCAAGCAACTGAAAACATACTTAAGGTGCTAAAAGTCTTACAATCATTTCCACAGTTTCCCAGTTGTGTGACATTTACATGTTATCCACATGTGCCACCTGATCCACGCTACATATTGCGTAGGAAAATAATAGCAGACACCCTGAAGCAGCTGAAGCAAAGTAAAATGTATTGTTTTTCCTCTCCAGGCCTTTCAGGCTGGCCACACCTGTGTGAAGTGCATGATGCTGTTCTCCTCAGAGAGCAGTCTGCGGGCGCACAAGGAGATGTGCGGGGAGGTCCACTACCGCTGTAAGCTGTGCTGGGACGACACTGACGAACCCGACGAACACATGGAGGAACACTGGCAGCGCGACCCTCCCCCGGAACTGCGCTACAACCCGTGTCTAACCGTGGAGAACGACATGCCGCTCATCAAGCAAATGTACATGTCCCCGGTGGGGCCGGACGAGGAATGGCAGTGTACGCTCTGCGCCACCGCCACGGACGTCAGCATCCGCCAGGACAACTGGCCCACGTTCAGCTTCAGTAACAGGACGCGGCTGTGGACGCACCAGGCCGTGATCCACGGGATCGTGTGGAAGAAGCTGCCGTGCCAGGCCTGCGGAGGCTTCCTGAAGTTCCACACCAGGTCGGACTACCTGCGCCACATGTTCGCCATGCACGTTCAGCTGAGGAAGGAGGAGAACGCGTTCTGCTGTCTGATGTGTGGAGAACTGAACCATGACAGGGCCTGGCTGGAGATTCATCTCTTCCACCATGCAAAAATGCCAGCAAAATAGTTCATTATTTTCTTCTTATTACTATATTAGTGTAATTTACTATTATTCTACTAGTCTTTAGATGTGGATATAGGAATCCTGTTGAATTATGAGAATCTGCAAAATAGGAAGTACATTGTCATGTATGAACTTGGTGACAACCATTGAACTTTTACTAGTAAATGATGGTGAAAAAGATTATTTTACATTTTGCAACTTCAACTTGAGTTCTTAAGCAAACTATTCATTAGTTCTGTCTTGAAAAGTTTGGGAAGATTGATTGGGAAGGTAGTTAAGAGATAATAACCTGCACTGTCAGGTGTATATGGTGTCCTGGTCATTTCCTATGACCACTCACTCCGCGATTTATGAGGTAGTCTTATAGGACATGGAGGATTCAGAAATATAGCCAATCCATACTTAACAATGTAGCAAACTTAGCGACTGTCCTCTACAGTGTATTATAAGGCCTGCGTTTACAAAATGTAGACTTGGTACAATGTATTAACCAACTTGGTTGTGAGATCATAATTAACTACTGGTGTGGTAATGCTGTCATAACCAATGGGAAATGGGGACTTCTGATTGGTTGACATCCTCTGGCTATTATAAGGCCACACCGACTTAATTTTATGGATGACTCTGGCCTGGGTAGTCCATGGTAGTTAGCGACAATACCGAGCCGGTGGTAACTCTGGAGGATAGCACCCAGGCTACCGAAGACCCACGACTCAAGAACTCAGTACGTACCTACAGTGCCGATTTACAAATTCCCCAAAAAGCCAGCATGTACCGGCTTGTCGCATACATCGCTATGTACTGCCGCAAATTCACAATACCAGTTTTGCATCCCTGTGGTTTAGTAGAATTTTTATTTTTGGCCGGAATTTTTTTTTATTCGCCCGCGCGCACTATAGCTAGTTTGGGGGTCTTCAGAGGATGTCATCCATAAAAATTAAGTTGGTGTGGCCTAATATATGATAAAAATTTTGAAAATAAAAACTTCGGGTGTTGCAAATAGATGTTGCGATTGTTAGTACAGGGCTCGAAATTAACATTGTCCCAGTGTCAAATGACACTAAATTTTCAGCTTGGGACAATTCAAATTACGTTTCGGGACAATTTTGGGGCAATTGGAAAATTCTAAGACCATCCACGTCATTTGGGAACGTGATCCATCCATCCTGCTGCAGACTGCTGGCAGCCTATAAATATATGATACTCTGACAAACATTTAAATTTGACCAATCAGGGATTCCAAATATCAGGGACGGCGCCATGCCCATGATATTATCATGTATTTCCCTAATTTACTAATAAAGTGGACTTCAAGTTGTACAAATTCAGTTGTTGTTTTCTTATTTTTGTCATCAACTTATTTCCTGAAAAGCAGGCTGGGACAGTCCATCTTCAGTTCGGGACAATTGAAATCTATGTTCGGGACAATTCTGGGACAATAGTGAAAAAAGTTAATTTCGAGGCCTGTAGTAAAACTGGGATTAAAAGTGGGAGGAAGGTTATATGGTTTAGTTACTGACCCCTTATCAACTGTTTGAAATAGCATTTATAATTATATTTTGTTTGGTATATTTTGTTAATACTTTGCTGACAAGTTGTATATATGGTAGTTTTGTGTTTGTGTGTTTTATTAACTTTGTTGACTGATTTGCAGTCGTAGTCTAGTATAGTAAAATGCAAGGACTACTCTCTAAAATTAATGAGAATCGATCTACAATAACTGTACATATGCAATACTCATAATCTACAATGTCCGTCAAGATCAAGACAGTTATTTCTTAAAACCTCATCCTGTGTCATATGTACAACCAAACAGTAGGTACACTGGCAGGTTACAAGTATAGGAATGATCACTGTTGTTTACCTCATGTACATGCAAATTATTGAAAGACATGCAAATTATCGGTATGCAAATCACCCAACTGTCACATGATGTTGCCTACCAATTGCTGGCTGTGACATCATGGATATTGCAAGGAAGTTAGTTTTGAATTAATTAAAACAACTATTCGTAAAGCCAATTTTACCTGAAAGTAGTGAGCTTTTTTTTCTGCTGCTTCCATGTGTAGCAGCTACAGTACACTGTACATTTGTGGTTTGGTAACCAGGATAGCTGAAGGGTGCATTGTTAATTAATGGTGATATTGTGCAGGCTATAATTCATAATGAATCCTCTTTTATATTTATGTGACTGAGTGTGTGAATATACATTGAAAGTATGATGGGAAGTGGTTTTCTCAAAATATTGTTTGCATACATTTTTCCTGCAATAAATGCTTTTTAGTTAACACCATCACTGTTGTAATAAAATATAATGAAATTGATCAGTTTAATTTGATTTCTTATCAGTATGTCATATCTATATCTGTATACACTTGGTCCTTTTTGCTACTACAGTTCCCTCCAAACACCTTATTTGTATACATACAAGTTGGAAGGAGAATGGTTGATATTTACATATTTATTCACCTTGTAGTCAAAATAGGATTCAACAAATTGCTAACATTATCAAAACAAACAAAAAAATTGTTTCCATGAGTCTATATTACCAAGAATCGCCCACTTTTACTGGAACTGTTGTAGCTAAGGTATGTTTGTGATAGCAACAAGGAAGTTCCTATTCAGTGTGTAGTTACAGTGTTTTCATTGTTGATCAGTTTCTATAGTTGAAAAGGGTTGGGCTGTTCCAAATTTTTAAATTGGTTCTTGATTTTTTTTTTGTAACCATATGACAACTCTTTATGCAATCAGAGAAAATCATAACGTTTTCTGTCACGTATTTATATTAGGGCAGCGAGAATACATTACGACCTCACAAGATCAACTTAGATGTTGCCTAGCCTCCTGTACAGATTTGTAGCGGGGCGGCGTTTGTTTCTACTGCTGGAGTGGCGTTTTTCCGGAGGGAGGGCCTTGTTTGGGGGATAACTCTACCGCATTGGAGAACTTGTAAAAATGTGTATCATCAGCACACACACATCACACACACAAAAAAGATACGCTACCACACGAGGCGTCTTCGAAGGAGGCTAAAGATTACTAGTAGTTTGTATTTTCTGTACGGTGTAAAAATGCGTTCAACACCCCCACGCCCCTCCCAAAAAAAGAAACGCCACCACACGAGACGTCTGTGAAGGAGGCTAAAGATTACTATTAGTTTGTGTTTTCCGTACTAGAGAATTATCAGTGTAAAAAAATGCGTATCAGCACCCCCTCCCCATCCAGAAAAAGGGAAGAAAAAGAAACGCCACCACACGACAAGTCTGCGAATGAGGCTAAGGATTACTAGTAAGGTTTGTATTTTCAAACGTCTGATGCACAGAAATGTGTTTCCTAGCTATGCTTGGTGGGAGCAATGGGGCTTGATTTGTAGTGGTACATGTATATTCTATATCACATGAAAGAGCAAATATTTTGCCAGGGAATATAATTTTAGAAATCGATCGAGGGCCATTATTAGATACAAAACGACTTCGTCACTACGTACATTGCACACGCCCTGACAAGGTGCGTCGTGACAAATCAGTCAGCCATGACCTTTTGACACTTTAGATAAAGCCGCCAAACGTCACGCGTCATTATTTCATTAAGGTGGTCAAATTAAACTTTCCTGTGGCGTCCTCTCCGTGATGTGTATCATCTTTCAACAAAGGCCGTATCTCATCTTGATTGACACGTTTTGCAGAAGTGTAACACCTGAAAACAGCCCGGTAAAAGGTAGGGGCTGTCCCGGCTCGACCAAAGGTGGCTTCATTATAGCTAACATGGAGGTTGAAAAGGCATCGTCTATACAGAAGTTTGCGTTGTCCCTTCAAAAACAAACAACAGATATAATAAACAAGGAGAAACAAACAAATAGAGCGCTCGAATGTCGACTGTTCAATGGATGGACGGAGACTAGCTGGTTTCACTGACGCCAGAATCGCACTGTGCTACAAAAGTAGGTTAAATGTGCCTGACGAAGGGAAACTCTAGATCTGTACGTACGGATTTTTCACAAGAAGAAATCAAAAGCTAGTTTTATGAACTGTGTAAAAACAGCGATGGGTACAAGTAGAGAGCATTACTTTTTAACAATGAAGTAAACTGTCCGTTAAACAATAAAAATCTACATGTACGATTGACGTCGACACTCGACTGTATTATACAGCGATGTGACACAGGTAGTGAGCATGCTTTTGAAACAAAGTATCTAAGATACTCAATGAGTCAATTCCTCATATTGGGAAGTGAGATTATCAACGAAGCCCGTTATTGTTATGAACTGGGCCCATAGGGTATGTGCGCTGGTATTTTTTTTCCAAGTAGATTTTTTTTCCAAGACTATCCCCTCTATACAATATTATCGAAAGGAGAAAATTACCCTTTTTTTTGTTTCTGCCAGCCAAGTTTAGTTTACATAGATAACCCCGTCTAACTGAAAATTCTAAAGTAGAGACGTTTGGAAGTCTATCGTGGTTGGGCCGGGTTGGGTTCTCTTCGGTGCTGCAGGAGCTCTTCCCTGCCGGTCGACTCAGCTAGGTGCCCCCTACCGGGCGTTCTGTTGTACTGGGCGGGGGGAAAAACTATTAGAGCCCCGAAGACAGCCTGTCCCCACCACGTTAGACTGGATATCAGGCTAACAAGACTGAGGTCAGTCCGGGTGAGTACACCAGATAATGATAACAAGCGGAAAGCAGAACACACGCCTAACGTGTGTCTCACAGAGGGCGGCTTCAGGGCAGGATTTTTCACGGTACATTTGTGCACGGGTTCAACAAGGCTACTATTGTCTTCGTTACTTGAAACGATAATCTCCAAGCAGATCCTAGGGCGAATGGATACTGCCTGGCATATACTGTCTTTTGCCTCCCTAGGATCTGCTTGGAGATTATGAAACGTTGCAAATAAACATCAAATTTCTGTAATGCATGTGGAGTCAATACAAGTTTTGTTTGCTGTACAGTGGTTGTCCGTCGTCTTAGATGTGTTTGATTCCTGGTTAGAGGAATGCAGCCAGTTAACAATTTATGGGTGGACCACGGTTAACAGATCAATTATTTATCAATAGGAAAATAAGGACATATTGTATACCATTGAAATATCTCAAAACATTGTCATTCTTTTTCGACTATTATTTCAGAGCTTTCATAATCATAGCATTATGGTAAGTTACGATTTTCCACTTTCTTGAATACTACCCGTGCAGTAGTATCTAAATTATCAATTTTCAAGAGAACGAATTTTTAATCGTCTAATTAACTGAAATAATTATGAGACTTATTCATAACCAATAGTTCAGCCTGTGAAAGTTAGGAAATCGACAGTCGGCTTGTTATTGTTGACAAAGTTCATCATCGGCTCCTTCCACACGAACTTTCCCGAAGTCACCCGTAAAAAGCCGAATGTCGATTTCGCGATTTCGATCACGTGAGGTACCGGACACTCCAGAAAGATGGGGAGGGGGGCCTGACCGTAATACATTTTTTCCAACACATTGATTTGTAATAGCGAACGTTTTATATAGGCTTTTTTTCAGTTAACAAACACATCAATTCATAGTGATTTGATATATTCTACAACACGGAAAGTGGAGATTCGTTTCGCTGAGCCTACATAAAAAGTATAAAAAAGCAAAATACACT